ATAACATTCATTAATCGCGTCTTATATTAGAGATCATCAATCAATAGAAGGAAATCCATTAGGAATTTGGGAGAAACTCTAACTAGTTAAAGATTTAAGTGAAGCACCAGATGATTTAGAATTCATACAGGAAGAGTTGTGTGAAGCCATCTATTATTTTTATCTTTTAGGTGCTTTTGATATTCAACAAGATGGATTAAAGGTTGATTTGAATGATGAATGTATTCCTGTCAGTTATACATCTTCTTTACTTCCTTCTGCAGTATCAATAGAGACACAAACGCCTTCAACGTTGACGTTTGACAGTCCGAGAAAAAATAATTTGAGGTTAAAAATAAGAAAGCTACGGAGAAACTTCAAGACGCTGAAAAAGACAACCAACTCTCAAGGAAATCTTAAAGACTTTATGAAAATGTGTGACATATTTTTAGACAAACCTTTAGCAAAAATTGTAAAATCACAAGCTCTTTTAAAAAGGCAAAAGGCTAAAGCGAGGCGATATAGTGAAGAGTACAAAAAATTTGCCCTTACTTTATATTTTTTGGGACCTCGAGCATATGCTTTTTTGGAAAAGTTACTGTATATGCCATCTAAACGCAGCTTACAAAGAATGACAAAAGATTTAGTACCAAAAGCTGGTTTAAACAGTGAAGAGGTGTTCGAGGCCTTAAAAATAAAAGTAGTGGCAATGTCTGGGCAAGATAAACATTGTAGTATCTGTTTGGATGAAATGTCTGTAAAATCTCATTTATTTTTTGATATTTCCAAGGATGAAATTATCGGTCTGTATGATATAGGGGATAAAAAAGAGCCTTTGTTAGCTGAACATGCATTAGTAATCATGGCGAGAGGATTATATTCTAATTGGAAAGTGCCATTGGCTTACTTTTTTGTCGATTCAGAATTTGATGGAACTAAATTACTCCCAGTTGTGAAAAACTGTATTTTAAAATTATTTGAATGTGGGTTGTATGTAGATTGTCTAGTAACAGATATGGGATCTAATTTTATAAAATTAAGTAGACTCTTAGGCGTTACTAAATCCGAGCCACATTTTCAACTCGGCGAAAACAAAATTTTTTATATATTTGATCCTTGTCATCTAATTAAGGCGACTAGAAACAACTTAATAAATAATTCATTTTCTTTCAATAACATGACGACGTCTTATTGGAGCTTTATAGAAGCTTTTTATAATTATGATAAAAATAATACTTATAAATGTGCACCCAAATTAACTGACAGTCACATATATCCAAACAATTTTGACAAAATGAGGGTAAAATTAGCCACACAAGTTTTGAGCAACACTGTCAGCAGTGCAATGAATACTTGTGTTAGTTTAGGAATTCTTCCACAAGCAGCTGTGGGCACAATAACATTTATTGACAAGTTTGACAAACTTTTCGATATGTTTAACGCTGTTGACTATAAAAATGGTAATCCATATAAAAATGTGTTTACAGCTTCCGATGAGCAATTATCATTTTTAAATGAAATGGAAACTTTAATAAACAGTTTTAAAATATGTAATAAAAAAGGGGAGGATGTTACTTCAAAATCGAAATCCAACAAATGTTGAATTATTACCATAAATGCAATACAAAGGCTCTGCAATAAGTTGTTACTGGCTGATTTTAAATATATTAAAACTAGAAGACTAAATCAGGATTGTCTTGAGAATTTTTTTGGTACGATCAGACAACAAGGTCGCAACACAGAAAATGCAGTACAAAATATTTTGCACCAAAAATCTATGGTAATACCAATATTCGAGGTAATACCATCAATTACAATTTTGTAGATGTTTATTTATAGAAATACGAGTAATTACTGTTAGTTATATTTATAGTTCTTGATTATTTATCGGATGTAAAAAAATGGCGTATACCACTCTCATGTAATGGTTATTACATGATCGTTGCATAATATACTATTACGTCTACTTATTATGCAACGTTAAATTTCAATCTTTTTTATATATATATTTTCCTACGACCACAAAGGAAAATGACACATATCACACTATGGAAAGTGCCCTATATCACACGCGTATGAATAAGAATTTACTTTCCACCCGTGTACGAATATGCTACTTTCCGCAGTAGCTGTCAGAAAATATTAAACATATAATTTCTATTTTGATCTATGTAATGTCCATATTAATACTAAAATCGATAGGATTGTTAAATTATTGAAATTGTTGTAAATTAGATCCTAGATATTTATCTTTAACAATTATTATTAAAATAATTTTAAAATAACTAAGATATGTTTGCTTTTTATTCTGGTTAAATACATAACCGATTAGATCATTCAATTGACGTAAGGGCTATTAGCTCAGATGGTTAGAACGTCGAACTTATTAACTTTGCCATTTGAGACTTGGCGAGCGGCCGCGTTCAAATCTTGGCGGGGCCAGAATTTTTTTTTTTTTTTTTATTTTTAGTATTTTTTTTGTTCAGAAAGTATGAAAATTGAATAAATACGATTATTGTTGATTATTTTTTTAAATACATTTTAATTATTATAGTAATAATAACCTGGTTTTACATTTTTTGATGTCATTATTTTGTGGTCGTAGAAAAAATATTGTACATCATTTGTGTGAAAAGTGATTTTCCACACTCGTGTGATAGTCGCACTCAGCTTGTGCCTCGTGCGACAATATTTCCCACTTGTGTGAAAAATGTCACTTTCCACACTCGTAATGTAATATACTATTTTGTTTTTTAAACCATACGGACTGTGATCGATTTAATCCATTAAATAATATACATATAAACAATTTTATAGTAAGGATTAAAACAGTAATATATATGACAGACTCACTCTGAGGAACCAAGTCGCTGCTATCAGGATCATGCAATCAAAATACATTTACAGCTACCTACAGTACTTAATGTTAATAATAATAATAATAATTTTAGTAATTATCTATTGAACATAGTAAGAATTTTCCGTATGTGTTTAAGGACCCATTCCACCGTTGTGTTAAACGGAGTTTAAAATGATATTTTTACATTAACAATGTCATTTTAATCTCATGAACCAAACAACAAAAATTGATTGGAATTATACGTTTCCCAGTGTATTAAGTTCCCATTTACGTCAAGGTCGCTGCTACTTTGGTACATAGAAAAACTCATTCAGTTTCGCTTCTTGGGTATGTATTCTTTGGTATCACTTCAACTCTCTTTTCGTCAGTTTCCCTTGACTATACAGTTTTGCCATGTTGATTAGATATCCAAACTAGACCGGATAAATAATAAATAGAATTATGACGCCATCTGTTAAATAAAAGTTTTTTTTAAATATGACACATAAATGGCATCTATCAATATTAGTTATCTTTACGAATAATGGAGTGTGCTACTGTGGCCTTAATATCCACCATTAGCTAAGAAAGAATCAAAACATAGTTATTGAAGGTTGCTTGCTTGTTTGGCTGCATATTTTACATCTATTCGCCGATCCCTTTCGTGTTTAGTCTTTATTTTAATTTTATAATAATACTTCATTTTCCCCCACTTTTATTTAAAATATATTTTTTAAGTACCAATTTTTATTTGTTTTTTTTTGTGTTTTGGTATATTGTATGTTAATGATTTGAGACTATACTTACGAGATAAATATCTTGATAACCTAACAACGACTCAAAATCATGTGATTTTTGTTTCTCACAAACTAAATCAAATGTAATAGCCCAAGAGTCCACTGCAAATTTTTACCGTCATCTGATAACGAAATGAAATATACCCCAAAAGCATGGAAAAACATTGTACTTTACCAAATGGCACCTGTGCCAATCCCAATCGTGAGCAAAGTGGCTTAAAAAAATTATTTTATATTAAAAAAATCACATAAGGCATGACAGCGCTAATTTTATTTGCCCTTAAAGTTTTCCAGAAAACAACATTCAACTATATCTTGATACATATCGTTAAAGGGAAACATTTTCTTCCTCTTAACATCGCACAAAAACATCTATCCACGATTAGTAGGTAAATATCACTAAAAATATGAATCAATGTTTGCTGATTTAAAAATTTATTTGTATGCCTATTGTTGTGATTCATTTTTACAGGTTGCCATGGAAACGACAAAAAAACTACTATGATTATGGTTTAAAATAATTGTCTAACAAGAGTTTATAATTATTATTGACTATCTCTGCAAATTGTTTATACAATGCAATCCTTCTTCCTTTCATACATAAACATGGTTTAAAAGGTAGGTAAAAATATTAATAATTCAGGTTTAAAAGCTAGGTTCACAATGAATTAGGATTGTAATTTTCAGGGAAAATCTAATTGTCATTGTCATGTTTTATGTGATTTTTTGAATATAAAATAATTTTTTTTAACCACTTTGCTTAGAATAGGGATTGGCACAGGTGCAATTTGGTAAACTACAATGTTGTTACATGCCTTTGGAGCATATTTCATTTCGTTATCAGATGACGGTCGAAATTTGAAGTGGGCTCTCATACTGTACGTTTGGAACATGAAAAACCAATCAATTTATAATAAAAATACAGTAAAATTGTTGGGTACCATATTAGAGAAAATGCTTTACTGAGAAAAGAATATCGATTATATTTATAGCCAATGGCAAATATTATGAGATGTCTAGCGGTTACAAAATGGGGCGCTAACAGATAAGACTATACTAATCATGTATACTAACACTTATTTGACCAATAATAATAGATTATGCTAACATTGTTTATGGCTCTACATTAATTTAAAAAACAGACAACAATCACCAACCAACATATCAAGCTCACTGCTTGATATGTGCATCTTCCTTGTTCAACTCATTGTAAGGTATATTATCCCTGTTCAAAATTCTGTACCTGTATAAGAATTTAATACTTTTTGAAGGTAACATTAAAAAATAGTTTAAATACAAATGCTGCATGTTTAAAGGTGTTTTATTTACTCCATTACCATTAAATCGTGAGGTAATTTTGCTTTAATCTAAACCTTTTATTTCAGTTGTTCGTGTAAATGAATCCTGTTCTTTTACGGAGCAATGTGAAGCCAATAACTTTCAAACGGAATGCAAGGATGGAGTATGTGTTTGTCGATTCGAAAAACTAGCTGTGATGAAATCGGATGGAAGAATAGAATGCGAAGGTAAAATTATTAAAATTTCTGGTTTAAACTTTATATAATACACACAAATATTAGAATTTAATGAATTAGTTCAATTTGTGTTGGATTAACTGTGACGTCAATCGGTGAATACTTTAAAAGTCATCCCATTTAAAGCGTACATCGATACACCCTTTTTTTAAATTACGACATTCAAACATTTTTAAATTCAAAAGATAATTAAACACATTTAAAAATTAAATTAGTAAATAAATAGGCAAGTAGTAGGTAATAAATTTAAATACTATGGCCATATTATCTAAACATTTTTTGTAATTAAGAAATATTGAGAAATTTTAAATGTTAAGCTATAAGTCGAAATTTATATACAGAATGTACAAAAAGTAACCTAACATACTAATATTTAGATTCTTTATAGGTTTGCAAAACAATTTTGAATAAAATTTTTTGAAATGAAATTAATCAAATTCGCGCAAATTTCGAAACGTCAACCGGGCGCGCTCGCTTTGCTTGCCCTCCTCTTTACTGGTTGGGAGGAGCGTAGCGTGATCTTATAATGTGGGTGGAAAAAAAAGGCAGGTCAGCCAGGCGCGCTCGCTTCACTCGCTCTCCTCTGTAGGTGGGTGGGAGGAACGTAGAGTGATCTTATGGAGAAACTGTTGCTATGAAAATGGTATGTCATGGTAACGACTAAATAAATCCTGAGGTGAGAAAATGCCTAGTTGCCAAGTTATTTTCACTTTAGTTTAGATTGAGATATTATGTTAAGAGTTAAACTAAATAAAAAAGGCAATTGCGCATTTCCTTACCACTGGATTTATGTTTTTGTTTAGTCGACATCACGAAAAGTGTTCTTATAGCAACGGTTTCTCCATAACCGACTTCAGTTACACTAAAGTGAAGATTCAATGACCTATAACTTGCCAGCCATGCATTTTCTTATCACGGAATTGGGTTTTTGTTTAGTCGTAACCATGACAAGTGTCTCTATGGTAACAGTTTCTCGGTAACTGATTACGGCTATATTAACTCATCTGTAACATGGCAACCACGCATTTCCCCACCACGAGATTAGGTTTTTTGTTTACTCATTACTATGTCAAGCATTCCCATGGCAACAGTTTCACCATAACTGATTGCGTCTAAAATAAAGTGAACATTAAATTATTTATAACTTGGCAACTATGCATTTCCTCACCACGAGATTTAGATTTGTGTTTACTGGTTACCATGGCAACGATTACCATGGCAACAATTTTTACGTAACTGATTTCGGCTAAACGAAATTTTACCTCAAATTCCGTTTAGAAATCCCCAAATTTAAATTAAATTTGACATATGACATTATATAGAAGGTTACCAAGGTATGTGTGACGTCACCACAATAACCACAATACTGTTACTAAGTATGTTGTGGTAAGCTTATAAAAAAATGTCTTAAAAGTATCCACCTAGTGACGTCACAGTTAACCCAGCACAAATTGAACTAATTCAACTATCCTCTTGTTGATAGTACTCTTTTAACTTGGCTGGCTAGCGTCATTTATCAAACAAATAAATTCACTTGATTTAAAAAAGTTTTAAAACTTTTGGATAACACAAAGTAATTAGATTTCAAAGTTTTCGAAATGTACATTGTTTATTACTTTATAGATGACGTAATATTAATATTTAAATATTTAAAAATTATGTACTACAAACATTCAATCAAAATCGATAAATAAATCATCAGGTGTGACGGGAAATAAGTTAATAGGACTGCTTTTTAAAGAGTATGGAAATGATATATCATAAATAAGGTATTTTTAATACGAGTATTTCTTGTTTGATGATTTTAATTGGACACTTGATAACATCGCGTTAATTTGTATTGACAGAGTATGACAGATATGATTCTAAATTCTAATGAATATTTGGAATGTTAGGAATGTTAGACGTTAGGAATGATTGGAATGCGTGAAATAAGTCACCTAAGAAATGCATACGCGGATTTTAAAAATATTGATATTAAAGTAGTTAGGATGAACCGAAAATTCTGAAAATTATCAGGGTTCTAAGTTAGAAGCAATTATTCAAAAAAATCAAAATCGCAAGTTAATCAGAACTTTCGTTCTAGAGTTGTCGTGCCGGCATACATACACACAGTCGACCAGACGAAATTTTTTTTTTTTGCATTTTTGAACTCAGAATGATCGGAAACGTGTAAAAAAGTATAAAAAGTGGGGTAAGAAAATTTTTTCGTCTGCACGAATGCAATACTAAGGCCCCATGAAGGGCTTCAGTAAAACTTCTAAGATGCCGCGAATAGTTGCATATATGTAGGTTACTTACGCTGTGGTTTTTAACATTCCTGCAATCGTATCCCATTTAGCGTATTGTTTATGCAAATTGTGTGTATTTTTTTTAAATCTGACATCATCGCTGACAAAAGGTAAGAGCTAACTAAGCTTTTTTTATGTAATTTGGATTGAATTATTATTTAATATCTGGATATTTGTATATTTCTGTAGTTAGTAATTATTTACTATTAGAAATATGTAAATTAGTTAATGAAAAGAATAGTTCCCACGGTACATATACTTAGTTGGTGGGATATATTCTTTCCAGCGCACAAAATAAAATGTTATTTTACTAAACACTTTTTTCGGATATGTGGAATTTAGACAATCCAAATCACCAAGAAAAAGCTCTTCAATACCTTTTTAGTCTTCCCGAAAGTGAGGAAACGCGGATGAAGAACCAGATGATAATGCAATTGAAGAGATAAATATTCTAAAATCTCTAGAAACAAGTAGTCGTAATTCTCCGTCTACTAGTGAAATTCGTACACTCATACTTGTCAGTACCTCAGCCAGCATTCATATACCCATTTCTGTCGATGCCGGTCCCACAAGTACATTATTCGATCCTTTACAAGTTGTATCCACCGCTATATCCACAACTCCAGGAAATAGATGATATTATTAAAGAGCTTTCCACGTGGACACAAAATTGCGAGAACTTACATGAAAAAGATGTGTACTTTTGTAAACCTACTGAAGCTAACATTTAAACGCCCCGCCATGTCAAAGAAATAAACATTTTTCAGAAAAATTTTAATGATGACTTTTTGGATATTATTGTTGATCAAGCAAATATGTATGCATTACAAGACTTACCAAGAAGAAGCAACAAGAAAGAAGGCCCAGTACCTTCTAAAAACTGACAAGATAGTGATGAAATAAAAACCTTTATAGGTGTTATGATTATAATGGGTATCCATCAACGTCCACACTTGGCAAACTATTGGTCAAGCGATCCGTTTTTTGTGGTTTCTGCAGTTGCCCAGGTTATGTCATCAAAAAGGTATAAAAAACTTTTAGAGAACATTCATCTAAATGATAATACAAAGACCACTGTAGAGGGTGAGCCTGGATATGACAAGCTGCTTAAGGTAAAGCCCCTCGTGAATATGCTTAACGAATATTTTCGTGAGCCATACAAGCTGTCGACGAATCAATGATTGCCTTCAACGGCCGTTCTACGATAAATCAGTACGTTACCATGTAGCCAGTAAAGCGCGGCTACAATGTTTGGTGTTTGGCAGACTCTGCTTCAGGTTATATTTGTAAATTTAATATATACACTGACAAGGATACTGCTCCGGAAAATTATGATTTCTGTATGGGTGAAAAAGTAGTTAATGATCTCACGTCTTCGTTGAAAACTCAGCAATGCCTTGTAGCATTTGATAATTTCTTTAGCCCTTTCCGTCTTATGGAGAAGCTGCTACTGGATGGAATATTTGCTCTCGATTAAATAGAAAGAATCTAGGTACTAGATATTTACAGAGAAAAAGCCAAAATGAAATGCGGCGAATTTATGTTTGAAACCAAACGGGCAATATCTGCAGTTAAATGAATGGATAGTTTGTTTATGTTGTTTTCAACTATTTTTGCCCAAAAAAGACCACAACTGTCTTGAGACGTAATAAGACGGGTGTGAGAGAAACGGTTTATTGCCCCAAAGTTATGTCTGAATACAGTAAAATAATGGGCGGCGTTGATAAATTTGATCTACTTCACGAATGTTAAACTATTAGTCGGAGATCTACAAAATGGTGGAACCGTATATTTTATTATCTGGTAGACATGGCCATTGTAAATTCATGTATGCTCATGAATACAGACAAAATAAGGACATGCAATCAGTTGTCATTTCGGATCAATTTGGCAAGACAGCTAATAGATAAAGAAATAAACCTGTTTTATTTCTAGCAAATAAACGGATAGTTCCAGATGAAGTCCGTTTAGTTGGTAAACATCTTCCTATTTAAAATAGCACTTACAAAAGATGTAGACTTTGCAGTACAAAAGTAGCAGAAAAAAGAACAAGGTACACGTGTTCTTACTGTCAAGTACCCTTTTGTATTTAGCACTGCTTCAATCAGTTCCACGGAAAATAGGGTCTAACTGTATTTTATATCGCATCTGAATCCTGCGGATATTTTATTTTTGGATTTGTTAATTTTATTTTGACTCTTTTTGAATTTTTTAATAAATAAACGTATAAGCAATATTTAGGTATTTATGTTCTTACTATTTATGTGTTTAACATAGACCCAATTAAGTACCAATTTTTACAAAAAAAGTTTAAATTTAATGATAAATTGTTTCACGCCCATAAAATATTTAAATAATTAAATTGATAACAGGGCCTAAAATCACAATAAACAGAAAAAATTATTAGCTAATACACCGCGCCATTAGAAACTTGCAAATACTCAAACTGGCACGACTCTGTCGCAGATAAGACCAGCGTATTTTTTTTACCTTCTTGTTGGTCTATTAGTGTTTTGATTTCTTCTTCGGGAAGGTCAGGTGTTTGAAAATGTATTCCATAATCTTTTTTAGGGTTTCAAGTTTGTACTTAACTAGGGTAATAATTACGTTGTTCGTAAATTTTAATGAACGTTCTTGCATACGGCTGTAAATGTTTTATTTTTAAAATTTTTAAATCATCGTTTAATTTCTTAGTCTTTTATTTAAAACATGTTTTTTGTTTTTCAAACCATTCGGATTAAAACAGTAAATAAACAATAATACAAAACAATAATTAAAATATATGACAAACTCACTCCGAGGAACCAAGTCGCAGGATGCAATCGAAATGCATTTACAGTAGTTCTCGATATGTAACGTGTGGAGGGTGGCTTACCCCCACGGCACCTAGGCCTATTGTGCATCCTTCTAAGATGATAGGCACCTCCTAGCTCGTGAGCCAGCCTACAGATTTAATGCAGTTGACAATGTCGCCATGAGGTGCTTCTCTTATATCGGGCATCGGGCAATCGTAGAGGATATTCTCAATGCTCTCATCTTCTTGTTCGCATCCCTGCAGGGTGCGGATTCTGACAGCTCATGACATGGAGATGCTTCCGTACTTGGCAATGACCGGTCAGAATGCCTGTGTCACAAGCGAATGTTCTTTAATCAGGTCTGTTACTACCAATGTTGTCAGTTCAATAGAAGATCCAGGTGCAACAAGTCCAACCGTCCAACCGTCAGTGTAGATATAAATCGTACCTGCCACTTTCGACTCTTCTATTTGTTCTGTTATTACTTCATATGGCTTATGAAAGATGGAAGATATGTCTTGGTGAGATGAAGTTCATGTTTGCTTGAAGCATAGTGGGAGCGTATCGAGTGCCTTTTTCCAAAAGCGACGTCTCGCCTTACCAGATCGTACAACAGGTTCTATTCCAACCGAGCAGAGGCGTGTCATTGTCATCAGAGCAACCTCTTTGATGTAAATATTAAGGGGAGTGAGACTAAAAACGACTTCCACGGCTCTGGTTGGTGTGGTTTTCATGGCTCCTGTTATGTTGAGACATGCTGATATTTATTTGAATTTGTTCTATTTTGGGGAAAGCTGACAATTTTTGGATTTTCGGTACCCAGACAACTGTCCATGTGACGACTCTGGGGGAGAAATCCCAGGTGCGTCCCACGGTTCGGCGGCATTTTTCATAAGCAATATATGAACTTTTGACTTTGTTTTCTATAAGTGTGAGTTATGTTATGTTAACTTATTGTCAAAGATGCTACCTAGATAATTCACCTCTGTTGCAAAGTTTTGTTTTGTGTTTAGGAGCTCTGGAGGTTTTAATTCTATTTTTATCCTTTTTCTTATGTAAAGGATCATTTCTGCCTTCTTGGGATTGATAGACAGTGAATGGTCCTTGCATCACTTTTTCATAATTGTTATCAAAATTTATTATTTGCAGAATGACCAGGTCATCAGCTTATCCTATTGTGTAGTGACTGTCATTATTGTACCTACAGTACTTATTTTGTTATTAAAATAATCTATTTTACACAATGAACATAGTAAGAATTTTCTGTCATTGTTACTGTAGTATGTGTTTAATTCTTATAAACCAAACGACAAAAATTGATTAATTTTCAAACGTTTCCCAGTGTGTTAAGTTCCCATGCTTTGGTACATACGACAACTCATTCAGTTTCGCTTCTTGGGGTAGGTATTCTTTGGTAGAGAGGGTAATAGTTTTCTATATTCATAAAATATGAACGTATTGCTTGTAGAGCCATCTTGCGTTGGCGAAACAAAAAAAATGCAGGTCCATTTAAACCTCAAACGTGTCTTCAAAATTTCCTTTAAATCCCTTAAAAAATATAGGTACAGCGTTCGTTTAAAAACTAAGGCAAGGTATGTATTCTTCTTAAATATTTTTATTACATGTTCGTTAGTCATCGATGTTACGTCCTTCAAGGAGCCATCTTAGAAACTTGAAAATAATTTCCAATCATTTTGTCAGGAGCTCTGTTACTGTAAAACATTTTTTTTTTCGAAAACTGAGCTGTTAATAATTTCTTTTATTTTGGCACCTCCTTCGGAAAATTAATATTCAATAACATCGACCTAATTAAAAATGTTTTGGTGTAGAAAAACAAGATAGATATACGTGTTTTTAATAATAAAATTTCAAAGCAATAATTTTTCTCAGCACCCCATATCTTGGCAGGGATCATCAACATTTTGTCATGTCGCCCTTTTTTAGTTCAGCTCTCCGCTATTCGTATCCCACTTTGATCAAAGGGATTAATCAAAGATATATTGACTTTCTGTTCGTTCATCACCATTCATCCACCATATACTTTTTAATCACTGGTTTTTGTCTTTAAAAAAAGGTTTTTCATTTATGCTCCGAGAACTCGTTAATTTTCTGTCATAAAGTTTAAGAATTAATGTTCAGTCTGCTAATACTGCCTATTCTTTCTGAAAAAGTATTCGAAGGCTTTGAAAGTATTTTATGGTTTATAGTTTCTTGATTGGCTCACGAGTATCAGGAAAGATATAGCCCACTATACGTAAATGTGTAAATTGGTAGTAATTGAATTTGTTTTATATAAAAAAAAAAAGAGTTGTTATGAAATTGTGATTATTATTGAAAAAGAAAAGAAAGGGATTGAGAGAGGGGGATAAGCCGAATGAGGGTGATGATCGTTTTATGAAGATCCTCACATTTTCTTTGTAATTACAAAGAAAACAACAACCCAGCTAGCACAAAAAACATCCTATCTACGTTAATAAGTTGCAAATTTAGGCTCTTTAAGCTCGCATGCAATGTACTTTTAATGTATTGTAACCCTAATATAGTTACTGCAACCCGATAGAAACAAAATTTATAATTGGTGTATAATTAATAATCTTATATAAATAAAAATTTCCAAGGTTTATTCGGTAATGTTTTTATTTTAGCACATCATTACATATGTTTCGGAAACATTTTTTCCATCTTCGGGTGCAATCAAAATTTAATAAAACTTGGGAACGATCACAAACATTTTAAAAACATTTGTTTTTTAATTTTTAAAATACAAAAACCCCATCTTTCTGTTTCAGCGTGTGAAGGTGTATTCACAGACAGAAATCAACAAAGAAATAATAATAGTGAACATAATATAAGAGTAAATAATGTACAAGTGACAGGAGTAGAGGAAAGAAGTAGAATACAGGATGATATTCATGATCAAAGACAGAGGAACATTTTTTAGGGAACGTGTAGAAAAATTAAAAGTAGATATTGTTAGGTATGAACATCCTAGGGAGTTCATCAAATTATGGAGAACATTTTGAAATTAGGTATATCCCTGGGAAAATAAATTTTGTAAGTGATGCTTTAACAAAAGATAGTGGAAATTGTAAGAGAAAAAGGATAATATAAAATTGGGGTAAATATTATGAAGGAGGTAGAAGGTTTGTTTTCTTTTGAGGAAATAAAAAAGGATCAGAAGGAGTTGTCACAGGAAGAGAAAATCAGAGCAATTTTGGATGGTGAGGTGTTTATTAAAAAGGAAGAAAGGGAAGAAATTATTTGTAGTAACGACCTGATGTTAAATCCTGATGTAGTAAAAGGGTAATGACACGATTACATCTAGAAAATGGTTATATAGGTTCTCGTATGTTGTGGTTAATATTTAGAGAAAATTATATTGGCAAAAATGTTGGAAAAATTGCAAAGGAAGTTTCTAGAATTTGTGAGGTTCGTCAATTAGGAAAGGAGAAGAATCAGAAAAATCAGTATATGGTAAAAACAGTAAGTTCAAATAGATGTCTGGAAATATTGGCAATCGTATTTATTAGCAATTTGATTAAAAGTGAAGATGGAAAGTCAAACATTTTAATAGTTTTAGATATATTTTGAAAATTTGTTAGGTTATATCCGACAAAGAGTACTAATTGTCGTATAGTGATGGAGAACTTGAGTAGGTATTTTGATGAATTAGGTGTTCCAGAATATATCATCATGGATAATTTTAAGAAAAAAAGATTCGAAAATGTTTGCAAGAAAAAGGAAATTGAGTGTAGAGTTATCAGCATAAGACATACAGCAGCAAATCCAGCAGAAAGGTATATTAGGGAGGTTATGAAGTTTTTAAGGATATCAGTAGAAGGTGATCACACTCAATGGGAAAGGCAGTTAGGTGATGTTGAAAGGTTTTAAATATTGTGCGAAATACAGTAACTGAGGAAAACCCTATATTCGTGATGAAAGGTGTTCTTCCGGAGCGTAAATGGGAAAGCAGCGATACAAAATCATATGAAATGTGTTTAAGGAAAAGAGGAATGCAGAAATATACAAAGAAAGGTTGAATGAGAGAATCAGGAAACGAGTGAGATTGAAAAAAGGGGATTCAGTTAAAGTTAAGGCAGGAGTATCAAATAAGAAGCAAAATATATGTGCGAAGCTGCAATTTCCATATGAAGGGTGGTGAAAATAGTTATGTATTGTTGTTATAAAAATAGTGATTATTATTGAAAAAAAAAAAAAAGAAAATGTGATAGAGGGTTGATAAGCCAAACGAGAGTGAGGATCGTTTTATGTAATTAATCGTTAAGTTTTATATAATAAAATTTACAGAACTAATCATGAGGTTTACTGAACCCGTGGGGTACTATGGTGCAAAAGAAATCTGTACTATGTGAACTATTTGTGTATTTTCTGCACTATTTGTGTTTTTTATTAGGTTATCGACTTAATTTTAATAGCGGGGACTTTTTTAGCTTTTTAACCTAATTTTCATCTATCCGTTTACTATTTATGTACAATTTGTGTACTATTTATGTAAAATTCGTGTACTATATATCAGTACTCTATACTACTTACGTACTATGTGTTTTATTTGTGTACCATTATTGTACTATTTGCGGCACAATATGTACTAGTATACAGTTTTACAGTTGTTTAGCCCTCAGTTATATACATACCCATTCCATGTGATTATCTCAAATATAGTCAAACAAAAAATTTATTAAAAATAGAAGAGTTACATATTATGTCAATAATTCTTACTCCTATTATAAAATTTTCTTTTTTTTTCTAGTGGTCCAGACAAAATACACACCCGAAAAATATTTAGATCCTGCCATGATTGGTATTCTGGTAGCCATGTTTCTTATGTTCATCACAATTTGCGTTGTTCTACGATTATTTAGCAGGTAAGTAGTTATAATACAATATGTAACTAAATCTTGGCCAAATTTATGAGACTACCACTGAAGTACCCACTTTCAACCAAAAAAAGATTTTTAAAAAATCGGACAACGTGGTAAATAATTATCGCTGAACATACATAAAAAAAAAATTAAAAAAAAAATTAAAAATTATTCCGACGAATTGTGAACCTCTTCCCTTTTGGAAGTCGGTTAATACATTTAATGGAAAACAATTTAAAATGCTGAAATAAATTCGAAGAGTAATTTTCTGAACCCCCACCTATGGAATCGTGGATTCTAATCACACCTGGAGCGGTTTGTTTTCACCCTTTAAGGTTCAGGAAATTATTTTTGATTTTCTTTCAGAATTATAAAGCTTTATCCTAATTAAACAGTTATGATGACATTTTGAATTATGTTATTTTCGTTATGACCGTTTTCAATATAAATATAAATAGTAAAGAGTTGAAGTGATGCTATGAACGTAAATGTATACGTAAAATTGACAGCTACACATGCGTAATCAAATATCCTTTACGTACACGTCTGCGTACATATTATGTAAAGGCGGGTACAGATATGAGCACGTACGCGTATGAGGCAAGCCGAGGCCAAACCGAATGCCTCGTGCATGGCATTTTGTTTATACGAATGGTAGTCGCACGAGGCACTGCCCAGACAGCACAAATAGTTCCATTGGACGTCCATTCGATATACACTTTTGGATATCTGGACGTCCAAAGATGAGTTTTTTCTGGACTTCTGACGTCCAATGGACGTCCAGTGAAGTATACAAATGGCACAATTTTGACCGTTCAATTCGGCGCAAGAAATTAAAGTCTACCCTTCTCAAAATGCCTAGATCATTTTGCATAAAGTTCACAACATTTTAAATCCCACCCCACATTTGTTCAATGTTGTCGATAGGAACTTCATAAACTTTAAATTTTCAAGTGACCAAATAATCACAAGGATTACAGTCCGGTGATCGGGGTGGCCACTGAATAAGAGCATGCCGACCTCTGCCAATCCATATTCCATGGTATTGCTCGTTTAAATATTATTTCACACTGCGGGAAAAATGAGGTGATGCACCATCGTGGATGAAAAATCTATTACGGCGTAAATTGAGTGATAAGTCTTCTGAAACTTTAGGCAAATCTTGGCGTAGAAAATGCAAGTAACTGTCACCGTTAAAGACAATCTGGAAATCTAAATGGACCAATCAAGTAGGTGTCAATAATACCCACCCATATAATAATTTTAAACTCTCGTTGAAAATGTTTCTCTTTAATAGCGTGTGGATTTTCATATGCGTTCTTGTATAAAATGGAAACGAGACTCACAGTTAGGAGGTAGGAGTTCTGGATACTTTGAATGTGAAAGAGATCAATAAGTTGTTCTCTAATTATTCTGTTCGATGTTCTTTTTGAATTCCTAGTTTAGGATTATTTTCAACTATTTCAAGTATTCCCTTCTCTGCAACTCTGGCTTGACGAGGTCGTCCAGCATTATTTCTGTTCGGTTTCAGTTGACCAGTTTCATGGTATACCGGAACACTCTCACGACAGTTGCCATTACAGAAACCAAGCACTTTTTAGTTTGTTCATTAAATGTGTACTCTCTACCAGCCACAAAATGTTTGAAATAACTCTTTTAAAAGAACTTAAAAGAGAAATAAAAAAATACAATACATAAAACGAGTAGTATCGACAATTTTTACAGTTCTACTCCATGTCTGCCAAAATTATCAAAATAACGATGACAACCGCCAACTTAATTTTCTTGAAAATTTGAAGTCTCTAAGTTATTTTTCAATCGATACCTAAGCCTATTGATGTTTTTTTTTGTTTTTTTGTAATATCGTTAAAAGCGACAGTGTTCGGATTATGTTAGTTATAACCGCCAACTTACATTTTTGGTAAATTTTAAGTCACTAACCATCAGTCCATAATTTTTTTTTTACTCAAATACGATAAGAGATACATGTTTTTTGCACGAGACAAAAATGCTACAAATGAATACAGCTCACCATAAAAAAATTGAAGGAACAGGGCCACTCAAAAAGAACCTTAATAAAACAAAATTAATTTAGAAAACCCAATTTCCTTCTGTATATAAATATTCTTTAAAAATTTTAATAATTTTAGAGCAAGATGGAGAGAAAACAGAAGCATTTTCAATACACCAAATCCACGATTGATGAACGTATCACTCTTAAAGGAAAATAAACATGTCCATGAGCGAAAGGGATCTAGAACCAGCCGAGGTCCCAGCAGACAACCAAGCGTCGCCTCATTAAGAGCTCCTTCTCCGAATTCACAAGGTATATGTTGATATTGACAATTTCTTAAATTTCACAATGTATATGGATATATACATATAATAAATAAATGTATTTCTATTTTAATTTAAAGTAATCTTAAAATAGAAGTGTAGTGACGTCATTAAATCCACCCTAAACTCTTGGTTGTTTGGTCGTTTTTGTTGTCGTTATTATAAAAATTATACTTTATGAGTAAATAAAAAACGTATATAAATTATAAACCAACAATTATCATATCTAGTAGTTACTGTAGTGTAACGTTTATTTATTTTAAATAGTTTATTTATTTATTTAATTTTGGGTCGATTTTTTCACCTATGAGTAAAGTTTCATGTAGGTTTACTTGACAAATTAACAAATAATAGCCCTATAGTTTAATTAGCAAGTAGTTACTATCAACTTTGCTTAGAAAAGACTGGCCCTTATTTGTATACTTATATTCAATAATTTACTTACAACTTAACAGTCAATTATCTCAAATACTTATTTCAACACTATATTTCAAACAATTTATCTATATATAACAAATTCTTTCTTGTCAACTATCTAACTAACGGCAAGGATTCTATTTATATACAAAAATGTTACGTTCTAAACAACTCCAGAACTGCCTTTAGTTTCTCGATAGCTTTACGAATCGACACTTGAGCTAAATCTTTCTGATATTTCTCGTAGTAGTATGTGTGTCTCTATCAGCTGACGGCAACGTAGGAGAGGCGGATCAATAGGTGTTTTTAGAGATGACTTGTTAAATTGAATAATTTTAGTTAATCGGACAAGTGGAGAATTAAGAGGCCCAAAATAAGGCAGAGATGGACTTAAAGAATAAAAGCATGACCGAACTGGTCAAAAAAGGCTCGCACGACATTGCCTTTTGTTTAAGAGATAATTCCTTCTGAAACTGAATGGATGTATCTCTAATTTCCAGTTACATCAAAGTAACAAACAGGTCTTCGCTGTAACCTGAACACAGGGCGAATAGCTGCAGACCAGTATTTGCACTTCAGTATCTTGTAAGATTACTTCCACCGTATTTAAAATGATCCTCCAATCCAGTTAGTTACACTCTATCTTTGGCATGGCTAGATTCTGTATATTGGACTCAAGTACGTGCTCCCTCAAATTAATTAATGCTTCCTATATATCATGATAAATGGAAAGATCTTGAAAAGTATTCTGATAACAGATGGCAGTTCTCACACGTCGTTGATACTGGCGTAAGTTCTTTGGAACAGCGAGTAATATTTTTTAAAGCGTAAGCAGATCTTGTTGTTGCTCACCATAATGTTACTTTTACGGTACCTCCATATAAACCCAAAACTTCTTCAAAGACAAGGTCAAATAATTCTTAGAGTTTTGTTTTGTAACACAACCTTCGGTTTACCATCTTCTTGTTTATATGGTAAATTATATCATTAATTTTTTTCTTGATAAGGTGCGGACATTCCCAAGACCTAAGTTTCGGAAAATAACCCCTTTTTGTTTTTGGGTTATGTAGTCAGACTGTGTCACCTTCTTTGAAACATCCTTCTGTGGCTTGAATATTGTAAATTTTTTTTACATGTCGCTGGCAATTTAAAGATGCGGGCTAACCGACTCATGCTTATGATCGATTTTTCTTTGTAACTGTACCACGTAATCTTAACCTGCTATATCTCCTTCAGGTCGGTATTTAAACTTGAGGTCGCACGGTAGTCTCATCTCACTCTCGAATAGGTGGTGTTTGGCCTGTTGATTCATTGACAGCGAGTCTATAGGCCATTACGAACAGTGAAAGATACTAATGGTTGAAAACCACTTTTGGCAGGTATTTATTTGCCATTGGTCTTATTCATTCGCTTTACTACTCCATTCGACTGTAGGTGTAACGTGGTAGTTCTAGTTTTATTTATGCCCAGTCTGTCACAGCTTTCTAAAAAATTTCCACTTTGGCCTACGTGTGCAACAGTTGCACCCTCTTGATTTGGAATAGCATAGACTTCTACCCACTTTGTAAAATAATCCATACCACCATCACGTATTTATTACCATTTTTGGTTATGGAGAGTTATCCAGAAATATCTTAGGCGATCCTCTGAATTCCGGAGAATACCGATGTTGTATGTTTCATGGGAGCCTTTCTTTTCCATTGAGGTTCATTACTCATAGCACAGGTTTACATTTATTATACCAGTCCTTTACATCCAAGAAAAAATTTAACGAACTTCTGATGGATTGTCGTGTAGCTAACGAAGTACTTCAACTCCTCTAGTTTTCAGAATGACCAACTGTCTTCTGCTTTCAAAACCATAATTATTTTCGAGTTCTTTGGCTTACTCCTAAAGTTGTTTTTCTTATGGACAGAAGATTCTGCGCACCTTATAACTGCCAATTCTCACATTACCAATACCCACATTTATGGCAATGTGTAGCCTTGAAAATTTTGAAGGCAGTGATAGTCTTCATTCTAGTAGAACTCTTTTGCTTCTTTTGTAAGTTGCGTCAATTGTTTAACAATATCTGCTCACCTCCTTCTGTAGATAGTACGTAGAAAGTCAAAGAACACTTTGTACTTGATGTTTGGCCACTGTTTGATAGAAGCGACTTTTTTCTTATCTACAGCCGCGTCATCGTTGTTAACTACATGACTCAGGTCATAGCTGACATTTCTTGGGGTTTAGGATCAGTTGGAGATCTTGGAGTCTTAAAACATCTTTTAGGCTCTATAAATGTTTGTCATATGTCTTCCCCAAGACTATAATATCGTCTAAATACAACAGGTCCGATTTTCAAGATAACCCTCTCAACACATTTTCCATGTCTTTCAAATATAACAAGGGTATTACGTAATCAAAATGGCATGACATTAAATTGTCACAATCCAGATCAGGTGATAAAAGCTGTCTTTTAATTATCTACTGGGTCCATTTTCACATGCCAATATCTAGACATTAATTCTAAAGTTGATAATAGTTTACTTCCGGCCAATGTATCCAAGATATTGGCGATTCGAGGGAGATTATAACTATCTTTTTTGGTAAAATTGTTCAACTGACGGTAATCCACACAGAACTTATTTCCATACTGGTAGAACACTAGTAGAAGGTTCTATCACCCTGTATTACTGAATTTTCCGAACATTCCTTTTAACTTCTCCTTTCTCTTTACCTTTGGCAATCTTTGAGCTGGTTGACGAATTGGCCAGGCATCATCAGTAACAATTTTATTAAGTGTAAGGGTTAAAGAAAAGGTCCTTTATTTCTCACAAGTCAATTTAATTGGCGACCGGTTTCGAAGCTGTCACTTCATCATCAGGCACACCTAAATGGAATGTCAAGGAGTCAGTTGTAATAAAAAACAATTATAAAAGCATGAACGGACTTTAACATATACAAAATAACAGAAAAAACACAAAAGAAGTTGAACAATAACCTTGACTCACCTTGACTATTTCCATAAAGGAAGCGCTACTAAAAGTTTAACAAAACGAGTTAAAAAAGTCATATGTAATACAATAGTATTTTTTAAAAATATTGTAGGTTAGGTTAAACCGCGAGATGTCTGTTTGAATAAATTAATTAAAACACATGTAATACTATTATTAACTAAACAACACAAAATAGTTTTTACAAGCACAAACAGTTTAAACATTTTTAAGGATATAACGTCAATTAATAAAAGTAAAAAGTAAAAATTATCAGACTCTCAAGATATCTATCTAGATTTTTTAACGAATCAATGTAGTAAACTGTAAATTTTAAATTTAGCGGATAAATAGTGTACTAACAAAGGTGTTATTTACTGAAAGTGAGTATAGGGGGCGGTGACAAAATTTATTAAAAGTAAAAATATTAAACTGGGAAATGAGAAAGCAAAAAATACTAACAAGAAAATTAGAACACTGAACAAGAAAATATGAAAATTCATATGTAAAGGGAAATTTGAAGCAGATAATCAAAAAAAAATTACTGTTACAGGAAACGGAAACTAAGTTGACAAGTACGAATGTCAAAAAAAGGGGGAAGGTCAAATTTTGGCGTATGACAACCACGTGGGAGAATTTGAATAAACTAATAAAACATTTAATAAGATGCGAGTGGGCAAAAAATTAATGGAAACAGAGAAGAGAATCTAAATTGGGAGAGTTAATTAATTTGTGGTAAGTAACTGATTGAAGATCAAATGAGTGGGGGTATAAGTCTGAAATTAATTTAAATAAGCGCAGAGAACGTTGGGGTACTAATAAATTGAATTTGTGCATTCAGAGAGCAGGAGGGCCAGATTTAATATTTTTTAAAATTTCCAGGTTCTCAAAGTTATTCAGAAGGAATTTATTAGAAGTCATATGCAAAATGTCGAAGCCAATGCTAGAATCAAAATCGTGACCAGTGTCTAACAAATGAGCAGCAAAGTGAGAAAAACCAGTAGTGTTAGTGTTAAGACAGCGTGTGTGCTCTTTCAGGCGTATTTTAAAATTACGAAAGGTCCTTCCCACATATGAGCATGGACAGTTCAAACAAGTTAGTTTGTAAACACCAGACTGATCCATAGGATCAATCTTATCCTTATTCCTAACAAATAGGCTACTGATCGAGTTGGACGTTCTAAAGCTAATTCTGAAGGAATCTTTGAACAAGTTGGCTATACGATATGAGAATTTTCCAATAAAAGTAAGTGAAACATACTTACGATTATCTGCTTCAATATTGGGAAGGGGGGTCAATTATGTAACTATTGTTCTGATTACGTTTATTCTGTTTTCTATGAAGCATTTTATCTATTAAGTTCTGATCATAATTGTGACTATTAGCAATTTGTTTGATAACATTGAGTTCTTTATTAAAGTTATCTACTGATAGTGGTACTTTCAGAAGACGTTCCAAGTAACAATTAAAAGCTGCTAACTTATGTGTAACTGGGTGATTAGATAAATTATCAATAACAACCCCTGTGTGAGTAGGTTTTCTAAATATGTTAAATTCCAACTTAAGATCTGTACAATGGGATATAGTTAAATCAAG